TAATGATACTTGCCAAATTAAAAGTTGATCTAACCAAATTATTTGAAGTTAGACATTAACACAGTTAGATGCCGACCGGCTCAGCAGCCTAGAGGTCTTGGGTTTGAATCTCACGAGGTGGGTCGTGGATGCGCACTACTGAGGAGTCCCACAGTAGGACGAATATGCCGTCTAGTGCTCCCAGGTTTCACATGGTGATCTAGCTCCAATTGACTCATGATCTCAACTACTCAAATTATTTTTGTTAATAAAACGTATATCATTTGATGAATTTAATTAATGTATGGTTCAGAATTCCACTGCTAGCCACCATCTATCTTTGCAGTGACCAGTGGAGTTCAAAACCACGTCTGTTGTGAGATAGGAACTCACTGAAGACAATTGGTGAATGGTTGCTCAACTTCGTGGATCAGTTGAAGTTAGACATTAACACCGTTGGATGCCAGCTCAGTGGTCTATCGGTTAAGGGCTTCGGCTTGAGACTGGTAGGTCCTGGGTTCGAATCTCGCTCGCGAGAGTGGGTTCGTGGATGCGCACTGCTGAGGAGTCCCATGGTTGGACGAAACGGCCGTCCAGTGTTTCCAGGTTTTCCATGGTGGTCTAGCTTCAATTGACTCACGCTTTCAACTATAGTAAATACTAAATCTTAACAAAACCCCTTTGCTTATTAAGCTTGTGACTTAAGACATTATTGAAGCAATCCACATAAGATGCACTTATGTCAACAAGAGACTGATCAATTGCAGTCTTAAACAACAATCGGAAGATTTAAGCTAACAGTACTATGTCAATGTATGGTATGTATAGTCAAAATACTTTGATAAGTAGTTATATTTAGTTTAGAAGGTGATTTTATCAAATAATCAACTATATTTGTCAGTTAATGATATAAATTTTAAGGTACAATATAAATCAGAATGAATTGTAAAAATGATTTGTGCATTATTGAACAAAAATTGTTTTCTTTTGGATTTATTACATTAAAATTTAGTCAAATGGGGATTTTGGAACGTTTACTCTTCTAACGAGTTACTTACTTTAACTGAATTCAAAAACCACTTAAAGTTTATTTATATTCGTATATTTTTTTATCATAGTTGATTACTTAAGTAGTTGATTTGTGTATCTAAGTTTTTCATTTTACGCTCTGATGAACAATAGTTGAACTGAACAGTGTTTTTTTTGTTGGTGATGTATCAGTGCCATAATCATTGCTGTCATATGCGGGTATTGGTATAAACATATATCTTTAATTAATAATGAGAAGAATATATTAATATTCTGTATGGCTTCATTTTTTTTCAAAAAATATTAACAGGGAAATAGAATAATAGACAGTTATAAAGTGAATTCAAGTTCAAACAAAGATGATATCATAAGTACAATCGGAAGAAATATTGCCACGTCCAAAAAGATACAGTTGATAACGAATATTTAACATAAAACTTTAGTGAATCTATAAGTAAAGGAAATAATCTATTTAGACAACAAAGAAGGAAGTAGTATAATTATTAAGATGTATAACTTCTAGTGTTAGGTAATGATTTTGAGTAGAAAAAGAAAAGACGAACTACGCTCATTCCTATGTGATTTTTTAACGATTTACCAAGAAAATTGCTATAATACTACAATTTGAAATACGATTTTGTATAGTCTGTGAAAGTTAGTGGACTTGCTGTCACTTCGACGTTTTATCTAGACTTTGCAGTTAGTTCTGTATCATTATTGTGTTCATTTCAGATGTTGTTTTTTGTGTTTTATAGTCAAGTTTATTTATTCGTTTACTCATTTGTTCCCCCCCAAAAAAAAAGAAACTCGATGTGATCACTGTAAACTCTTCGAGTATTTCATTCCTTTAACTATTTATCTATTAAATGTGTGTCTGCAATAGATCTGCTAAACTAAAGTTTTAGCTCTAACTATTTATGCTTTCTTAGATATAAGCAATTTGAAAATATCTTGGAAATACACTAAATTATTTATTGTGTTTATGGTCACTGTTGATTAGTCAGTGATTCAATTAATGGTTGTTTTCACTCAACTTCAATAAATTAGATTTTATGAATAATGTTTGACTCTTTGGTTTTACCATATTATGTAATCTTTTACACGAACAATTTACATCGGCGACACTATAAATTATGGACGAACCAATCACATTTAGTGTAAAAGGTCTTGGATTTCCGAAAGAAATTCACTCAACTATTTCTCTAAATAGTCTCTTGGCATTATCACTTATATCAATGCATCATAAAAAACCATAAATCTAATACCTAACCTTAATCATCAACCATGAATCATAATCCCTATCCCTCAAACTGTTTATAAACCTTATTTAGCCCTAGTAAGTAGATCGTTCATAAATTATAGTCTCACCATTACTTCTTTTAACCGGTAATAAGAATTTTACATTAACTTAAATTACATCCTATTTTATGATTTTGAACTTTCATACAAAGATTAGAATCAGTTCTTGAATGCTGAAAAAAATAAAACAAATATCGGATATTGTTAATTATTTTTTTAATCAGAAGAGGTTTTGTGGAGATTTAGTATTTTCATAGTTGAAAGCATGAGTCAATTGAAGCTAGACCACCATGGAAAACCTGGAAGCACTGGACGGCCATTTTGTCCTATTGTGGGACTCCTCAGCAGTGCAGCAGAAAAAAAGTTTAGTCAATGATTTTAATTATGTATAAATTACAAGGCAAAAAATATGTTCATATATGATTCATTTTTAAATAGAACAATAGATTATTGGTTACTGATGTCAGAAATATAGTCAAACTACTATAAAAACTGAATAATTAAGATTTGTGAATGATAAAAGTTCTATCTTCTATATACAATCGTTTGTGTTTTGGACAAGATTCTGCTGGAACACATGATAAGTTTCAAAATGATGAAAAATATTTTCGGAAAATTTATATATGCATAATCCAACATTCATTATATCCAAACCACCATCTAAGTTCTTGTTTATACAAAAGGAAGTTTAAATATCTGAAAGATAAGAAAATATCATGTATAAAGTTATAAGATGCTATGAAACAGGAAATGTTGAATAGATATCTAACATGTTCATTATTTAGAAAAATGTCTACAAGATGTTTTTCCTTTTTAAAATAACAAGAAACTTTGGGTCTTTTAAGAACAGAAAAAGAAAAAAAACAAATACTGGAGCTATTTAAAGTAATTTGAGGTCAATAAATATTAACTTGAATAAGTGACAAAATGTTTTGAATCAGAAAACAGAAACATTTAAATATAAAAGCATTCTCATAGTTGAAATGATGAGTCAACTGAGCTAGACCACTATGGCTCAGTGGTCTATCGGTTAAGTGATCTGGCGCGAGACTGGTAGGTCCTGAGTTGGAATCCCGCGAGGCGGGACCGTGGCTGCACACTGCTGAGGATTTCTATAGTAGGACGTCCATCGACGTGATCCTAATGTTATTCCAAAAACAGTTTGTTCCCACCTTAAACCTACCCTGGTAATATTAGCTTATTATTCAGAGTGATTAGGTGTCAAATTGTTTTCACATTATTTTATCATTATTATCCTTGTCTATTCTTACCCCTATTTCCAGTCTAATTGACCTTTTATTTTTATCTATAAATGTTCTTAACAAGTATATGTGTGATCAGATTGTTCGAAATGTATTGCGCTAATATATCATCTCACAGTTCTGATAATCTTCGTCTTCTTATCACATTATCGAGACATTGTGTTATTAAGACACTGGAATTTCATATCAATGAAAGTAATTGACTTCTTTAATGTATTACGTATTTGATGAAATTGAATTGAAAAATATTTAGTTGATTGAAATCCAATTCAAGATGTACAGATTATATCGTTTAAATACGTCATACAGTTATTAATATCAAACGGCTTTACTTGTTATTGTTACCATAGACAAGTGAATGCTAAATGATTTGTTTAGTTGTGACTTTTTCAACGTAACCTTTTAACATAGTTTTATATCAGTGAAGAAATTTTCACTGTATATACATTTATAATAAAGTTCAGGTAATCTACTCTACAACACATTTTCAGTTTCTTCATTTTCTTCATCAATAACCCATGCTAGAATTTAGCTTGGGTAAAAAACTAGAATCTATCAAGGAAGTAATAATAAGAATACTATTATAAGGAGATGATTACTGATAGAAACACACAGGTTAATACGTATACAAATATGATAAAGAATTAAAGTATAAAATGTGCTGTTTTTTAGTAGTTTATAAATTTATCCTAAAAAGATGTTGCTTAAAATTAAGTCATCACTCATCAAATAATATTGTCTTGTGTTTTTACTAATCTGTAAAAGCAGTCACATGAATAAAATCAAAACACAATAGAAAAGTTATCGGTGATGAATATAAAATTCCACATTAATTCAAATAAAGGATTACTTGCATTTTCATAGTTGAAATCATGAGTCAATTGAAGGTAGGCCACCATGGAAAACCTGGTCTAGCTTCAGTTGATTCATGATTTCAACTTTGAAGATACTGAAATCTCCACAAAACCCCTTCTGATTACTTGTATATTTATACTTGTATTATATCTCTAGTACACAAGCTTAAGTTTATCGAAGGACCGACATGATTTTCTGATTGATAAGATAATTAGGATAGTATGATTGAATTTTTAATTTTATTGTTAAGTTAAATACCTTTCACTAGGTTTGTAACTCACATAAAACGCGTTAACTACTTGCATTTCAACATATATATCTTAAATTGTAGTGCTTGACATCCCAGTAGAATAGCCACTAAACACACAATTCATGCAGTCTCGTTTAGTTAACATAGTTGAACTTTTCACTTGATTCAAGGTTGGTATAATTATTGGATTATCTTTTCTAGTTGGTAAATACATATAGACCTAAGGTGAATAGAAAGTATAGTGATTAAATAATTTTTTCTTTATCGACAGTACATGTTTTTGAGCAAAAATAACTGAGCTAATATATCTCTGTTTGTTTATTTAGATAGTAAAACATCGTATCTTTTGACTCAATCAACCGTTTTTTGGAGAAAAGGAAAGTTGGCAAGAATAATTACACATCATAGTTTACTTGTTCGTCTTTTGGATACCTCTGAAGCCATGAGAATCTATTTCTGAAAGTTAAACCTTTTCGTTATAGGTTGTTTATAATTTAGCCGTATCTACCTAATTTTAACAAAAAATCTATCCACTTTCATTCGAATATTACAGTAGTTACTTTGTAAGAAAGAAGTATGGAAACTTTATTTCTATTGAGCTTATGAATATTAACTTTGTGAAATCATGTGACCATTGTTTTAAACACCTTTGCTGATTTCCGTTTTTAATTCTTGTGCTTCAATCAAATCTATCTAATACATAGGTATGGATAGATTTATGATGTTTATATCTTAAGTATATGTTTTATATAATATTGCTCTAAATCATTCTATTGTAAACTATTTTTCAATAATCCCTATTTTGACGGAAAAAAGATTGAAGTTATTGTCTGATAAATATGAGAATTTGTAAATCAATCAATGATGAAAAATTTGTAAAAAATTATTTCCCCTATTCCATATGAGCACTACAAAATGCTCATTGAAAAGTATTATTTTACAAAAACTACAAAAATTTTTTTTTAATTGTTTACTTTTTTTTAGAAAATTGTAGAAATTAGTAGGGTGTTTGATATACGGATCATATGATTTGAGGAATATATTTCCAGCAAATTTTAATAATAAACGATAGCTTTCATATATTTGAGTAACTCACAAAGTCGATAATGAGGAATTAGGACTTTGAATAGAATTAGAGTAATATATATATTAAGAAGATTAAATGATCCACAATAAATTTTACTATGTCTAAGTCATTAGCAAGGAGCAGAAGATAACCAGTCATATTAGCAACTAAATGCCATAAGCAGCAAAGTTATAAAACAATCATTAAGACAAATCAGACATTAGTAGAAAGGGGAGGGAATGATGATTAATAAAATAGGGTCTTTGGACAAAATTATAAAATAAATAGATAGTTATGCAGGGGATATTCACAAAGTAGCATTTTAATAATTTTAATTTATTGTTTTCTTTGCATTATTCATATCAAAAACAGTAATATTCATCAGTTACTTTATATAGACCAAAGGGATAGTGATTAAGCAAAGGTATCTACCTCGAAACTACAGATAAAAAATTATATTTTCGAAACTTGATCTTGTAGACAATTCTAGACTAGCTTTGATAAATGACCATGCGATATTAGTTTAAATAACTTTATAATTGTTCAGTTCCTGTTTTGAAGCTTTTTTTAACGGATAATTATAAAGTATCGATCCACTCAGAGAATCGCATCAATGAATTTATTTGGTGAAATGACATAACTGTAAATCGAAGACATTCTCAAAATATCATGAACATTTTGGAGGTGTAAGATTAAAATTAATCTTCATTCAGTAAAAATGTCGATATATAATCAATGTATCAATACAAACTCTAAAGGTCAACAAATCACATTGTCTAATTGTAACGAGAGAAAACATTACATACGAGAAGGGACTGATTTTGCAATTATGGAATGATTCTATAACACTCGCAGGATACTTTGTTGAAATAACAATGAAATCTCTACAATCAACTGATCTGGCTTATAGAGCATTACATCAAAATTCTATCCCATTTCATAAATTGCTTTATATAATAACTAATTACTTTTATAATAATAACATGTGTCAAATAGATCTAAACTAATTCAGTTTTTTTTACTAATGTTTAATATGACATTGGTTATTGAATAATTTAAAACAATTAGTCCCTTTGATAAATTTCGATAATGCAATGAGAAGACGAAGATTATCAGAATTATGTGATATATTAGCGCAATACATTTCGAACAATCTGATCACACATATACTTGTTAAGACATTTTTTATATGAAAATTAAAAGGTCAACTAGACAGGTTAAGGTAAGAAAATAAATAAAGTACACAAAAACAAAGTGATGACTACTCTGGATAATAAATAAGCATTACCAGGGTAGGTTAAGGGTAAGAACAAATTGTTTTTGAACACATAAAGGGGGTTTCAATTTCCGTATAGCCAAGGCTTCAATAAACCTTAGTATACGTCCTTGAAGGCTTTTGTACAACACTACAAATGCTGATTTGATGTCAACCTTATGACCAGTTTCAACTAAATGTTTCGCAATAGAGGAAGATGTTTGTCTGTCCTGTGATCTTATTTGACTATTCGAATTCATTTGGTTCTGTAGCCATTTAGGTATGTGTTCCACCACCCTTATTTGCAAATCACGATTGCTCCTCCCTATGTACGTGTTTCCGCACATACATGTAAATTGGTATACACAATGGGATGTGACACAATCGCTTATATGCTGTCTAGGTTTTTGGTGAAACATCGACCTTGTCTTTTCAATGATGACAAGTTGAGCTGCATAGAATGTCCTATTTATGGCTAATTTTAGTCTCCGTCTTAACATGAGACTATTAGAGTCACTTCTAAATGGTAATGTAATATAAACTCGCTTTTTGGGTGCCAGAAGCGTAATAGGTCTAATCGTATTGCAACCCTTCCAGCGGTTTATGAACTTAAATGAATAACCGTTATTCATTAACGTATTAGTTAGACGCTTCGTTTCTATTTCAATAGTATCACTAGTACAAATACGATTGATTCTATTGAATAAGCCCTTAATTAACCCACGTTTGTAATGAATTGGGCAGTGACTATGGAAATTAAGGTATTGCCCTGTCCATGTCGGCTTTCTATAAATAGAACGTTGGATGGAACCATCTTCTTTTCTACTGATCAGTATATCTAGAAAAGGAAGTTGGTTGTTCTTCTCTTCCTCGCACGTAAGAGAAATATGCTTCTGACTTGTATTGAGTTCTTTTAACAAGTGGTTCAAGTCTTCACATTTATCCCCTATGATTATGATATCATCAACGTATCGTCTATACAGACACATCTTTTGGATTGAGTTTTCAGCTAAATTTTCAACATACCCCATGAACACATCCGCCAGCAACGGTCCTAAAGGACTACCCATAGCTATGCCATCAATTTGTCGAAAGTGCTCACTTTGAAATGTGAATTTTACATTGTCAGTGCACAATAATTACTTCACGTGATTTGGTTCACAACAGACTAAAGGATTATTTTTTTTAAATCCCACTGTCATAGTAAGATCATGATATTAACTTATATATTAGTAATCTAAAAACAACTTTAATTGCATGTTATTTCACATTATTATCAATGTTGTTTATCATTAATTACAATGTAAAAAAAATAAAGTAATTAGTTATATCACATGACTAATGTAATAAAGGAAAACAATTTAAACATTAAGTAAATAAGTATATTATAAATAAATTATACATTTAGTTGTTGGGATAAATTCAAATGTATAGATGTTTATTCTCCCTAAGATATTGTAAACAGGTGAGAAAATCAGTACATCATATATATAAATACCATAGTCATTAAATAGGAATAATATATTTGTAAAATCTCCGTAAATAAACTTGAAGTAAATCCAACATTTCACCTGGCAATCTGATCCAAGCTTTTTCAAAGAAAAAGCCAGGTGAAATGTTGGATTTATTTCAAATTCATTCGCTGAGATTTTACAAATATATATATTATTCCTATTTAATGTTTTATATCAACTCGGAGCTCAAATATTGTGAAACTATTCGCTCTAATTTAGACGAAAGTTCTTATTTATGTACCATAGTATTTGAAATTTCTATTATGTTAAATCGTTAAGACTTAATTAATTTCATACATATAGTTTCTCTTATTATTTTGAAAAGAGTAAGGAAAAAGATTCTAGCAGAATAACATGTATTCATCTCATTTCATTTGGTTCTCGTCAGCTGTATTACAGCCTGTGAAATTTAAAAATCATAATTACAAAATGGGTTTAAATTACTTAGATGAAAGAGTTCAGTTGAATGTTATCTTAAAGACACATTGGTTATAATATAGCAAGGATGTAAATAAATTTAATAGATTAAATGGGGGAAGGCGAAATCCGACTCACAAGTCCTCGTCGTGCCTCCTGGTTAATGGGACTGTTTCCATGATCTAACATGAGCGGTTAATCGCGGGTGGTGGAGATCGGCCTAATCAACCACTCTACCAATACCCGGAAAGGATTACGAATTCAAAAAAGAGTCACTACATAACTATTGAGGGTTCAAAAGAGTGTTAAAATAAAAGTGAGTCTGCCAAAATAAAAATAAAACAGAAAGACAAAAAAAGGTTTGTGAGAGTTATGTAATCGTTCTGCGTAAGCAGTGCAAAAACAGCTATCCTGACCCTGCAGTTTCGCTGTGCTTCGATGTAGCACTCTTCTCCAGAAGGGCCTACTAGGCTCCACCATTCCATATGTCTGAAAGGGGCAATAGATTGAACATTGTAAATATATATCTTATGTAAAAAAAATTATACAGTATTGATCGTGATAAGCGTTCAAATAGCCAGAAACATGTGATAACAGATGAGTATATACTAATTACTTATTTACGCCTGTTACCCCTCATCGAGGAGCATAGGCCGCTCACCAGCATTCTCCATCCAACTCTGTCCTGAGCCTTCCTTTCCAGTTCTTTCCAGTTGCTATTCAGCCTTTTCATATCGACTTCTATTTACCGGCGTAGTGTTTTCTTTGACCTTCCTCTCTTCCGCTTCCCTTCCGGATTCCAAGTTAGGGATTGAGTCGTGATGCACGTTGGTGATTTCCTCAATGTATGCCCGATCCACTTCCAACGTCTTTTCCTAATTTCCTCTTCAGCTAGAAGCTGGTTTGTCCTCTCCCATAAAACGCTGTTGCTGATAGTATCCGGCCAGTGGATGTTGAGTATTTTGCGTAGACAATTGTTTATAAATACTTGTACCTTCCTGATGATGGTCGTAGTAGTTCTCCACGTTTCAGCTCCATACAGTAGGACTGTCTTGACGTTCGTATTAAAGATTCTGACCTTTAAATTGGTTGAGAGTTGTTTTGAGTTCCATATGTTCTTCAATTGTAGAAATGCTGCCCTTGCTTTGCCGATCCTCGCCTTTACATCTGCATCCGATCCTCCTTGTTTATCAACGATGCTCCCCAGGTACTTGAATGTTTCCACCTCTTCCAGAGTTTCGCCATCAAGTGTGATTGGGTTAGCGTTCTCCGTGTTGCATTTGAGAATCTTGCTTTTTCCTTTGTGAATGTGGAGGCCTATCGATGCGAAGGCTGCTTCTACATTTGCGGTCTTCATCTGCATTTGTTCGTGTGTATGAGAGAGGAGGGCTAGGTCATGTATTTTATTCTGACAAGTCCATTGTATTCCGTGTTTCCCTTCAGATGTCGAATTCTTCATAATCCAGTCAATCACTAGAAGGAAGAGGAATGGGGAGAGTAGACAGACTTGTCTGACTCCGATCCTTACTAGAAATGCATCTGTCAGGTGTCCTCGACGCACGACTTTGCACTGTAGTCTGTCGTATGAGTACCGGATAATGTTGACAATCTTCTGAGGAAGTCCATAGTGTCGAAAAAGTTCCCATAATGTTCTCCTATCCACGCTGTCAAACGCCTTCTCATAGTCATTGAAGTTGATGTATAGTGACGAGCTCCA